TGATGTGGATTAGAGCCTGTAACATTTTTAAAGGAATTTATCACAGCATGACAAATTTTAATTAAAAGCTCCAGAAAACAAGTGTCGAGCATATTTCTCCAAAGGAAAAAAAAAATCCTTCAAGGCTTGAAATTTAACAGTAGCTTTGAACAGCATAGCTATGAAATGGGATTAGATTTTGTCTTCTCTGCAGACTGGCTATTTAACTTTGAGATTTGCTTTCTTCAAAACTATGAATTGGGTCGAAAAGCTGCTGTTTGCTCTCATTTCTGGTATGCAGAGATGACATCGTTATAGACTGTTCTCCTCCTCCAGTTTAAAACACATTAGATGACATTTCCAAAAGCATCTAACATCGAAAGACATTTCTCATTTTGAAAACCAAGTTGTCTCTGAAAATTAAATCTCAGACCTTAAGTCAGGTAGAGAGCAGAACGCTGAAAAAAAATCAGAGGTCTGGTGGGATTTCTCCTAAGAGTGTGGGCACTTAATTCCACTTAATTAAAATCAGCCAGGCCCCACGCTTATTCATACACTTAAAATGTCCAACTGCCTATAAAATCTGACACTTAGAAGAAAACGCTTTTTTTCTAACACTGGCAGGAAGCCCTCAGCCATTTAGGCACAGCTCGGGAATTCCATCCTGTATCTCCAACTACCTATCGGTTACGAACACAACTCTCCCGGTACCGGGGTTAGTAACGTGTTTAACAGAGCTGAACGCCTGCTTGCGAGTTAGTTTGCCAAAAGAGAAGTGGCCAGAGTTTACAGCCCTTTACAGACTCTGGAAGAGAAATAATACTAAGAAAAAATTCCCCAACCTTAAACCCCTTTCCGCCATAGCAAACTTGCCAACAAAAAAAGACCGAAACATCTGGGAAGGGAAATCTCGAGTAAAAGTACAAGGTACATCCATGAGTCAAAGTTATGAAAGCAGATGACTCAAAAAAGTCACCTGGCACCAAAATGCCCAAACGTGACAATTTGTGTCTTTACATAGGACAGACAAACCATTCCTGCAAATTCTGTGTTTCTGCTGACTTCCCAAAGGAGTTAAAAGCAAACCTGCTCTGGAAAGGAGAAGCACCTGAGAACGAGGTGACCGGCAGGTGTAAAGGAGGAAAGGCACTGAATCAGCCAGAGGGGGGGTGAAGCTGTACTTTCAGCTCACATTCTGCACTTAGGCAGAACCGCCTAAAGCCAAATTCTCACCGAAGGAAAAAAGTTCTTGTTCAAGTGAAGAGTTTCCAGAGGTCCTTTAGTTCCTGTGTGCAGCAGAAGGAAGACAGTGGTTACAAGAGGAGGAAGAAGTGGACATGAAATGAAAGACAAGAAAACCCTGTGGTTTTCAAGTCAAGCAGCATCCATGTCCAAGAACATAACGTGGAGCTGACAAGTCCTACAACGCACCAGAGAGAGGGGCTGAACCATGGTCAGGCTGTCCAGAAAGGCTTCAAAGATTTCCCCCGAGAAGGCAAGAGCCCAGAAGCCAGCTCTACGTGCGCGCTGTGTGTGATGGGACTGCAGCGCGGCTTCCGAAGCGTCTCCAACCTGTTTTGTGACGTGAATCCGATATGACCCTCTGCTGAGAGCAATCTGTGCCACCGAGCCCCGCAGGCAGCAAAGCAAACGTGGCTCCTGCGCGTTTCTGTCGCTGCAGTCACGCTGAAGCCAAGGATCGCTTAAGAACGAAAGAAAGGCCGACTTCAGTCTGAGAAAAACACCCTTGGGCTTCCTTGGGTTTGTTTTTCCTGAAAAAGGTTTTGGTGAGAAAAGTTCTCTAACAAACTTTATTTTTTTCCTGAAGGTAATGAAACCCATTTCAGGCATGCGAGCAGAATAACAGCGCAGTGGCCTGCAAAAAACCCCAACGCTGTCTGGATTTACTACTGAAAGCAACATCCTCAGCAGGGTTTTTAGAGGGTGTCCCCAATTTCTACCAGATAATCAGGAACTAAACGACCATTATGGTTAACAAGCAAAAATTATTTCCTGGAAGAGAAAGCCCACGACAGAATCTTCATCAATACTAACGATAAATAAATAGGCCACAAGCTGTAACCAAAGAGCCGAAGTTTTGTACAGGTTCAGAAATAAACTTGGATCCAAATTCCTCAGCTAGACCCTCCGTTTGATGAGTTTTACACAACTCTAAACTTTTCAAACTCCTTCTTAGCCTGCTGCAGTCCCCACGGCAGGGCTGCAGCCCTGCTGACAAAGCTCAGCAACAAGGAGCCCTAAAAGATGCAGAACGGCCGTGCCAACACCGTTAGGAGGATTAACCACGGAGGGTGACATCCTGGTTCTTACCAGCACGATTTCAGTGGCAGCTCAGGCAGAGCTGTATCACGTGAATTTAAACACATGAAAACATAAGATCGTGTCATTTTTTTGTTTAAACAAACAGGAAGAGTGATGCTGACATTCAGACGAAGCCACGAATAAATAACTAAAAGAAAAATTAAACAGATTATCCCAACCTCCAAGGAAAGAAGACCTGCAGAGAGCTTGAGTAGTCCAAGCCACGGGAAACGAGGTGGTTAATTGCTGAGTTTTTCACCTGCAGCCCAGATCTAAACGGCTCCTTAAGGTTAAAAACCTACATCAAGTGGGGCTACAAAACAAAGTGCAAGTTCTGCCGCAAACAAGTGGGGGAACAGAAAAGAGGATGAGAGAATTATTGATATCCGGGTGAATTTGCCCAGCCAAAATGAAGCTTACAGTAACTACCAGACTTTGTTCCTGAGGTCAGGATGTAAAACTAGTTTTGCACACTCCACCCTCTCCAAGTTGCTGGTACCAGTACAGTGCTGGTATCGACGCAGCTTCTGCTCTCACACATGCACAGGAAACAAGGAACTTTTTACAGCCTGTTCAAAAGCACAAAGATAAAATACTGTGCCAAGTTTGAGAGGTGAGCACAAACCAAGTAGGTACCGTAATTTAGGGAGTACTATCAACTGCTCTGTAGTGTTAAAACCAGAATCAACAGTGAAATTATGACAAAGCACTGGTGAACCTACACTCTCCATTGGGAGCGAGCAACTGCCACTTCTCGGGCAGAGATGGTGTAAGGCAGAATGTCTGCACTTCATCTTAAATACATATGATGACTAGCAGAAAAAAAAAAATTAATAAAAGACTTCTTCTGCTAACAATGCTCAGGTCTCTGCCTGCAATCAAGAATCTTAAGAGACTGCACATCACACACCGGCACCTGACATCTCAGGAGCCGACACTTCACGACTCGGAGCTGGCTGCGATCTGCTCCACTTCACGCAGAGCGTGGCTCGGCTGTGCTGCAGGGACAGGAGGAGGGATCGGGGTGTGAGTACAGCTGGAAAGCTGTAAGGAACTT